GCCAAATAGATGGAATAGGGGCATTTAAGATAACACCAAATCTTAATTGTTCAAATAAAATAGACAAAATTACAAAATACATCCTAAAATGAACTATCTATGCAATTTACCCAGCCCCAAATTTACCCCCGCCCCAATTTTTTCTCGCACTTTTTTCCTCCAAACAACCTTTCCTCGCAAAAACCCCCCAACCCAAAAATAACATAAAATAAGGCTAAACTACCCTCATTTCTTTTCGCATGGTCTTCTCTCTCCTATTTCCACTTTTTTATTTACCCCCACCCCTATTTTTTTTATCCATGCCGGGAAAAAGCTCGTTTTGGAGTTTCTCTCTGGCTCTCTCACCCGACGGCTCGAGCTCGCTCTCCATCTCTCGCTCTCTCTTCGACCCAAGCTCCCTCTCCATCTCTCGCTCTCTCTCCGGCCCGAGCTCCCACCTCTCACGCTCTCTCTTGTGGTTGAAGCTCTGTCCCTCTCTCTCTTCGAAGGAACTTTGGGCGAACCTCTCTAACACACAGAGAAGGCCCGAGCTCTCTCCCTCTCTCTCTTCGAATGAACTTTGGGCCAACCTTTCTACCACACAGAGAAGGCCCGAGTTCTCTCCCTCTCTCTACAAAAGAGACCACGAAGCCCTGGGCTCTCTATAAAGGCCCGATCTATGGGATTTTTCCTCTTTCAGGTACATGAGTGTTCATCGTTGTCTCTCTTGATTTTTTTTTTGATCTTTTTATTTTGTGCAATCTCATATCAGTATCACCTCAATATCTTCAAAAACGAAAAAAAGAAAAGAAAAGAAAAGAAAAGAATGATTTCTTGATTTCTTGTATGATGAATGTAGTTCAGTTCGGCCTTTCAATTCGGCCTTTCAATCTAAACATTTACCTATCGGTATGGATATTTTCATGATTTTGTTAAATTTCTCCTTTGTTGTTAGGATTTGTCGAGTACAATAAGTTATTATCTCAATGCTTTACTGCGTTCTACATCTGAAATTGTAGCATGTTCTGGGCTTCGAATTCTTGATACACTCTCTATTTCTCTTGTTTGTTGATGTATTATTTTGATTGATCTCCTTTTAGTGGGTGTGGAAAATAATCATTTTAGTGGGTCAACGACCTTACTACAGGTATTTCTCACTCTCTTTATTATTTATTTTTACAATATTACAACATCCAACTATCATTGGCTTCTTACTTTTTACTTTTTCTACAGTGCTGGATCTATAAGCATTTTCGAGCTCTAGCCACCAAGCCTACGTTGGTTATAAACCCAGGAATGCCTAAGGTTTGCATGTGGAAGAATGAAGCACGCCACAAAAACATCTCATTTGATAACATCTCGTTTGATATGGTTAGTGATTAGCTTTTGTACTTATAATCTAGGAGATAATCAACACGTGCTTATAAACTAGTAGAAATGCCTTGCCTTGTTAACGTCTCATGTTTATTTTTGTAGGTGACCTGGCAATCGTATGAGGAGCCGCATGAAATTGTAGAGTACTTCATGTGTCGATCATATCTCATCCGTTTCAACATTGCAGAGTACTATATGTCTGATCGCGTGTTGTGACAATTTGGGAAGTTGCAAGGTATTCTTCTTATACCACCTAAGTGAGATAGAAGGCAGAAGGTCGGTTTACACCCCACAAATTGGACTGTAAATTGGGTAGGCAGATAAAAGATTGGAAACAGTGAGAACGTAATGTTGTTAAGGCAGCCGTAGATAAATTTGGTGGAGTACCTACAAAATAGTACATGGCCTAGTACAACATGTTTACGCAAAGAAAAACCCCATTTTGCCCCCCGTTGCAGTCGCAATCTCATGTACGAACGCAGGCTAATCCCATGTACAACCCTCCGCAACCCAATCCCACGATAATAGATTGGTATACTATTTATTATATGTTTAGTCTTATTTATAGTCTTAATATATCTTAAAATTATCAAAAATATATAATGGTCAATTTTGTGTTTTTTCATTTTCTTCTTGTAGCGACATACCTGTATAGAGTTACTACAAGCTGCACTTAATGGTGAAGTATTAACCGGGGAATCCAAGTTTTATGTACAGGGAGCTCATGATCTGCTATTGAATTGCACTTCTGTAGAGACATGTGCTGAGGAGACAATACGGACAATAGGTGGAGATATGGAAAGTGAAAGTGATGATGATGATAGTGAAAGAGCAGAAGACGATGATAACAGAGAAGAGGATGATGATGGAGAAGAGGATGTTGAAGGCAACAATGTAGTGAGTATGAAAATGAGATAAGAACAAAGAAAAAAGCTTATCACTTTCAAGCGCCGGCGTTGCAAGAGGAATCAAGGTGGAATTTGCAGTCGCAAAGAGATGTGAATGCCGACGAGGACCTGATGTGAGGGGAAAGAGTGTTCTGAGTTGGCTAAAAAATCATTAAGGCTGAGAAAATGATATTTCGTGTTTTTTTTCTTGGATATGTGTATTTGAAAATGTTAAATCTGCCTTTTCAATTATGAGGAAGTCATCATGTTGGAGATTGTATATTTTTTTGACAATGTAACTTATTTACCTAATGCATGTTCTTTTCGATTTGAGATTGTCTACTTTGATCTTATTTTCCTCTTTACGTTCTTTTTTTTCCCTCGAAGTTTCCTCTTCTTGTTTATTTATGTTGATTATCTTGATTAAGACATCATGCAAAGGGTAACTTCTGTGTTCCATGGTTTATAGACCTTAGCCTCTGATCATGGTAGATTAGAAGCTGTAACATAATTAGTGGGTTATAATTGTTTTGGAACGATGACTGACTCCCTTATGGACTGTGAATATGTGTTGATAGAAGAACCATTTTAGTATTTGCTTGATGTATCTGATAGAGGAACCATTGTTTTGGAACTTCTGTATTTGCTTGATGTAACTTTATTCCAGAAAATAGTTTGGTAACTGTGGCAAGATAGAGGAACCATTTTAGTAAATAAAAGTGAATTGCAATAACTTCATGGTACTTTAGAATTGTGGACACTTATTGGACTTGATTCATTTGTTAGCAGTTTTATTCCTCTCTACTTTTTCCTTTTTATGGCTGTTAAAAGCTTAACTTGAATGAATGAATGAAGTTGCACTTTGATGAGGGGCATGCCTCTCTTGGTTGGCATAACCAGCGAATATAGCAATGTAATCTTGAAAGGAATGCAAAATACCAAAAAGTAGTTTGGTAAATAAAATTACCATTCCAATGGGAAAATATCATAAGCTTCAAAATATAGCCCATATTAATAAAGGTGAACCATGTGGTATTACATGATTTTTTTCATGACTCATGACCCATTATTACAATGCATATCATTGAGAAGACTAGGGCACCATTACTAAACGCTTCGGCAGTCCTCTCCAGCAACAAAGTCTCTGGAGCCAAAGCACTCCGATAATGGAGGACTATGCTCTGGCAGTAAAGACACTCGCTCCGGTAGTACTAATGTCCGCTTCGACAATGCTTTGACTGACCCACAACGCTCTGGCGTTATGATAGCACGCTTCGGCAGTGAAACTACACGCTTCGGCAATGAAGCCTCTGGAGCCACAAACCACAACACTCCAGCAATGGAGAACTATGCTCTGGCAGTAAAGACATGCGTTTCGACAGTCACAATGTGCGCTCCAACAATGTTGTCTTGCCCACAGCACTCAGGCATACCGATAACTCGCTTCGGCAGTGCTACTACACGCTCCGACAGTCCGCTCCGACAATGAAAAGTTTGGAGCCACAGCTCTTCGGCAATGGAGGACTGCATTCCGGCAGTTCAAATGAGTGCTCCGGCAGTCACAATGTGCATGACGGCAGTGCTTTGTTTGACCCACAGCACTCCGGCACACTGAGAACTGCGCTTCGGCAGTGCTACTACATGCTTCAGCAGTCTCCAGCAATGAAGCCTCTGGAGCCACAACACTCCGGCAATGGAGGACTACGCTCTGACATTCTGAATGGGCGCTCCAGCAGTCCCAGTGTGCACTTCGGTAGTAGTTTATCTGACCCACAGCACTCCGGCAATCTGAGAACGCGCTCCGGCACTTAAAATACTCGCTCCTGCAGTTCGCTCCGGCAATGAAGTCTCTGGAGCCACAACGCTATGGCAATGTAGCATTGCACTCCGACAATGCTTTTTGACATTCCACTCCGGTAGTAGTATACTGTGCTCTGGCACTACTCTACTTGGGATCCGCGAATTGATTTGGTTTGTACGCGAAGGGCATTTCCGTCCAAAAATTAAGAACATTTTACCTTGGGGGGTGTTTGCGACGAAAGGTTGTTTGGGGGAAAAAAGTGTAAGAAAAAATTGGGGTGGGGAAAATTGCATAGATAGTTTATTTCAAGGTGTATTTTGTAATTTTCCCAATGAAATAGATGGTACAGATGGACAAGCATTCTATACTTCCCTTACCGTATAAACCTTATATACTTTTATGTATCCAAGTGTTAATACTTCTCCATATCCAACTGTCCATTCTAATTGGATGGCTTAGATGGACCCAATCACATCATCATGCCTCTACACTATTTTATTTTTAATTTTTTCATAAATATCTACCTATAAAAAATATAAACACAATGTTCTCAATAAAATAAAATGAAAAACATGCCTCTGAAAATTTTAGGGGTATTTTGATCATTATATTTTCTTAAATATATTTTTTAATATTATTTTTAGGTGCGTCTTATTGAGATGATGTCACATATCAAATTTCATATTCAAATAAGTTTTAGAAAAAAATTAAAAATAAAATACTCTGACCCAGGTTAGAAGATTAGTGGCTCCCTTGATCTAAAGTGGATGGCTAGATGGGAGGGAAAATATATATCTTCTATGGACATATAGAAACTATAAATGACTACAACTTTATTTATAATTCTCTAAACATTTTTGTTTTAAATTTTTAAAATCCTTCAATATCCATGGGGCTAGGAGCAAATGTATAGAGTGCTCCAGCATATATATGCTCGGATCACATATCATCCGTTCCTTCCCTCTGGGATGTTTTTTTTACGCCCTCTGCAAGGTTCCTCTGATTCCTCCTCTCACTCGACCCACCTCTTTCTCTACAAGTCCTCTTATCCCTCTCCCCCCTCTCTCTCTCCGTCCCTTTATCCCTCTCCCCCCTCTCTCTCTCTCCGTCATCTTATCCCTCTCCCCTCTCTTGTCTCTCTCATTGGAAGCCTGCGTTGTTCTTCTGCCTGAGACCACGATGCAGGGTGGCGAAGAACTGAGCATTGATGAACTTGCTTCTAATCTCTCAACCTACAAGGACCAGCTTCACCAGGTAAAATCACAAATCTATTTCGAGGAGATCCCATTTCTTATTGAATCAAGTTAGAATTTTCGGCTTTGAAACCTGACAAAAAAGTATGGACCTGAAGTTTCTCTGATAAAATTAGGGTTTTGGAATTGAAACCGTCTAAGGGTACACGAGAATTTGTTTTTTTGCTGATTAAATTAGGAGTATGTATGTAATAGGGAGTAGAAACCTCATTTGTTGAAGCAGTAATGTTCACGCCATTTAATTAGGGTTTTAGTTGTAAAAATATTGTTAAAAATAAGATTATGTTTTTTGTATTTTTGTTTACAAAAATAACTAGGGTTTTGTATTTTTAGATCAGACTGCTATTGTTCATTCTAGTTCTCGTCTTATCATATCATTTTCAGTGGGAAACTAGTTATAATGCTATTCCCCATTTGTTAAAATAGCATTTTGGATATGGAAACTGATGTGGCAGCTCAGTTCAGTATTTTTGGTTTTGGGTTTGAAAATAGGGCGAGGTTGCTTCTTGGTTTAATGCCTTTCTTTGTTTTACTGTTAATCAGGTGAGGAAGCTTTTGGAAGATGATCCAAACAACTCTGAATACAAGGATATGGAAAAGGAGCTTGAAGAGGTGAAATGATGCACTTATTTTATCGGTTTATTTATTTGAATTCCAAATTCAGGATCTACTTAGAATAGTTGTTTGGGGTTGTGTTCTCTTTGAAATCATTGTTTTCTTCTACATTAGATGATTGAAATCTAAAAATGTGGTGAACTTGAAGTAAGACAAGAACAGTTGTGAAATATTTTTTTATGTTTTCTTAAGTAAATAGTTTGCTTTCCTTTGCCTCTTTTCTTTTTTGACTATTTTTCTTTGTACTTTTACTCTTTTTTTTTAATGCATTTGACTTGCATTAGAGTGCGTCTTGCCTTAAATCAATCATAGAATGTTTTTAAGGAGGCAATGTTTCAAGCCCAATTGGGCCAGGGGGCCTGGGCTTGTTGCCCAGGCCTATGCGCCCCTGCGCCCCTTCTGGGCACTGGTCTTAAGCCTTGGTCGGACAGGGGGGCATGGGCGCCCCTTCTAGGCATTGGTTCTGGGCGCCTGCCTAGGGGAACCTCCCAAGGGCGAACATGTTCCCCTGGTACCCCCAAATAAAGTACGAAGGGGTGATTTGGGTTTTCGATGATCCAAACTCATTTTTTTGCCTCTTAAGAGAAAAGACCCCCAAATCATACAAATTTGTGCTTTTGTTAGATTGAATGATGATTTTGAAGTTTTCAAAAATTGATCCAAATATCTTAAGGATTCAATTTTTCTATATATTTTTGAAGGTTATTAGAGGGTTGTTAGCAAGCTTTTAAGATTGGTAAATATTCTCAAAGAATGAAGATTGAAGATTGGGCATAAAGGTTAGTTAAAAGTCTTCGTATTTGAGATTTTTTGGCTATTTTGAAATGTCTTCTTCGGGTTCTACTAGAAGTCGTGATCGGTGTGAAAGATATACCAATGGGAGTCTAAACCGGTTTAAGAAAGACCTTGCTGGTATTAGGGGGGATGCTACCTCTTGTAAGAAGGTTCCTAATGTTGTTCGGGAGGAGATTAAAGAGTATATAAATTTATTTTTTTATAAAAAAAGGAGGGAATCATAGCAAAATTTAGGGCTGGGATTCGTGTTTTAGATGATGATGAGAGTGATGAGGGGGATGCTGAGGTGGATTAGGTTACTTTGTCCCTGTTTAGGAAAGGACAGGGAGTTGTAATTGGGTCTAGGGGGCCTAATAGATCTTTGGCTGAGGGGCCTATGGATAGTTTTTTTCCCCATCCTGACCGTGAGGTTGCAGTTGAGAAAACTAAGAAGTAGACAACGATTGAGAATAGAATTTAGGAGGAGAGAAAATGAACTATTCAGTATATATATATATATATTGAGAGAGTTAACATCTATTCAGTATATTTCTCAATACTTTTTATGAGGCGGATAGCCCTCTCTTAGTGCTGCTTGCCTAAGCAGCTTCTACACCTTGGTGGAGGCATTGGCCAATTTGGGCTTGAGTTGAAGCACCTGACCTTATGAGTTTTTGGAGTCTCTTTTGAAAAAAGGATGTGGAAATCACGAGGGAGACCGTGGACACAGATAAGGATGCATGGGCTCAGTATGGGGTATCTATTATGATTGACACTTGGAGTGACAGGAAGAGCAGGTGTCAGATGAATTTGTTGGTGAATTCTCCTTTGAGGACAATTTTTTGGAGATCTACTGATGCCTCTGATGATAGCCGTGATGCCACATACATATCTAAAGCAATTGAGAAGGGTATCAGAGTGGTTTGGGAGCAGCATGTTATTCAGATTGTCATAGAGGATGTTGCTCCTAATATAGCTGCTTCGAATTTGTTGCGCCTAAGCTACCCTCTTATGTTTTGGACACCATGCGTAGCCCACTGCATAGATCTCAAGCTTGAGGCTATTAGCGTCATGATCGAGATTATAGGCATAGTTAGGAAGGCTATATCAGTTACAACCTTCATCTATAGCTACACCCTCACCCTCAACATGATGCGCAGGTTTACAAAGAAGAAGGAGATAGTGAGGCCAGGGGGTCACGAGATTTGCTACCTAGTTCTTGTGTTTGGAAAACATATATACAAGGAGAGTCCAGTTGAGGTGGATGTTTATGTATGATGATTGGAGAGCACGCAAGTGAGCCAGACATCAAAAAGGGAAGAAGGTGCGAGATGTCACCCTATCTAAGAAATTTTGGCAACTCTCAAGTTATTCTTTCCTCTTATTAGTGTCTTGTCCATGGTTTACAGTGACAAGCCCTCCATGGGCTTCATGCATGGCACAATGGGAAGTTGCAAGAGTAGATTGCTGAAAATTTGAATAATGATGAGAGCCTCTATGAGCCAGTTTGGCAGATTATTGATGAGAAATGGGATAGGCAGCTACACCGACCATTACATCCAACTTGATATTATTGGAACCCAACATTTTTTTGTGCTGATACAGATATACAAACAAATGGCACAATTATGGGTGGATTTAATTATTGTCTCGATATGCTCATCCCGAATCAAGAAATCTAGGGCATTATATGTGTCGAGGAACTAATAAATTGTAAGTGCCCATTGAAGTCATTTGGGAATGCCATGGCGATAAGGCAGAGGACCAAAGTTGATCCATGTAATATACTTAATTCAGTTTCAAGTTCAAGTTTTCATATGTGTTGTTTGATTTTGTATTTCATATATTATTGTAATTCACTATCAATTCATAAATAACTATAGATATCTTTATCACACTTAATTTGCATCCCATTGGTGGAGCCAGAATGGGTGTAGTACTCCAAACTTACAAAAGATTGCCATTTGGATCTTGAGCCTAACCATACCTCTTGTGATTGTGAGCGGAACTGGAGTACTTCTGAAATGGAATGTTACTTTAGTTTAGTCACTTTAGGGAATATGACTTTGTTACTTTTAATCAACTTATTTTTTACGTTATTAAGTTTAAATTTTAAACAATTACATAATAAGTTTACTAATTAGTATTAGTAATTACTAATTACTATATAAATATAATTATTTTCGTTTTATGCGTATTTATTTTCATATAGGTTCATATAAAAAAAGGAAACAAGCTTAAATCAAAGAGGCTACATAACTTTGTTTATATGTGAAGTTCAATTGATTGTTGATATCTAAAGGATAGATTTGCTAAGCCCGAAAAAAGAGACCCCCCTTAGGACGAAGGACATGGGGAGTGCCATGGAATGGTTGGTTGAAGATGATGAAGTCAAGGGGCATGGAGGATTGACATGTGGTATGGTTATGGAGGCCTCAAGTACAACAGCCGACCCTCCTAGCGCACTAGATTATCTTCATAGAGGATGAGGAGGAAGATTCAGAAAAAAATGGAGGAGGACGAGTATTATGTTGAGGAGGGAGATGATTCTAATGATGCTGGACTTGACTCCGATGCATATGATGTGGGTGGCCCTACTTTTTTTGATGACTGAAGACTCTTGAGTCCTCAAGTCTATATTTCGTTCCTTTTCTTTCCCTTCTTCTTATGTGTATGGACTGGGATGGTATGGACTATGGACTATGAAGTATGTTTTATGGAGTATGGACTATGGATTATAGTTTGTGAATTGTGAATTGTGATTGTATTACTATTATTTCTTTATTTTTGGCTGTGTTAGTACTAGCAGTCTAGCCTAATACTTTGGATTGGTACCTTGGATTATATTTTCTTAAATGTGTCTAATTGTCATACACTTTGGTTTGACTTTGGATTGATCAAACATAAAAAATGTATATAAAATGCCTGAATACACATTTTTTGTGCACAATTTGGACCTAAAACAACGTTTCGCTACACCCCCTACCCTTGTTCTTCAATCTGTGTCCTAGAGATCTCATCTGCCTAGGCGGCCACCTAGGCAATGGGCGGCCTGGACCTCTCTGGCCACCTAGGTGCTGCTTGGCGTTTTCTGAAACACCATAAGGAGGAAAAAGCATACATCAGGTTGCACTGGGTTTTGACATAATGGGAGAATCTCATATGTTGGAAATAATCTACAAGAGAACTCCACCTTCTCCCTCTTTTCATAGGTTGGTTTCCATGTTAGCTAATCTAAGGCTCTGGTGGTACGTGTTATCTGCCTGCTGAGGAGGAGTTTAAATCTCTTTTATAGTCTCTAAATCCTCTATATATGTACTGTTTCTAGTTGGGGTCACCTGATAACATTGGCTGAATTATCTTTTTTTTTTTGAGAATGAACATTGGCTGAATTATGTTCTAGTATGATGGGGCTGGAAAGGCTTGTGACAACATCTAAGCAGTAAAAAATGCTCTCACCTGGAACACCAAGCTAGTTCCTTTCTTCCTCTTAGACAACCCTATGACATGTTTTGATACCCCTGAAAACCATGATGCTTCTTTCCATCCTGAGATGCACCTAAAGATGGCCAGGGGCAGCTAATAGGGTATTCAACATCTTTAGACCTGGGGATAGAAGGTGGTGCCAACAATTCCACAAGAAGCGCAGTCATCAGAGAACCCCAAACATGTTAGGAAGAATCTCCATATGTCCTTAGGAAGAAAAATGCAAGATAAGAGGGTTTATAACTCATTCATATTTTTATAATGGTGACTATATATTAATATTGATAAATATTTACAAAGAGGCAGCCATTAGACTGGGTGCTCTATTACAAAAAGAATATTTTAGCAGAAACACAAAGTTTGATAAAGTAAAAAAAGAATGATCTTAGTGGTAAAGGTATTTGACCAAAAAAAAAAAAGGGGGAAAAAAGTTAGAGACAGAGAGTGGGGAGGCAAGGAAATAACGAGGAGATAGAGATGATCAGAAATGGAGGGGTGGAGAAGTAGAGGAGCAGAAGTTTCCCCGGGGGGGGGGGGGGGGAGGGAAGAAATAGAGAGCAAAGACATTGGAGATGGGCATCCCACAAGTTGGGAGATCAGCGCATGGTAAAAGGTAACCCATGAATCAGGTGCTCAAAGTGCAATAGGGATGGTAGCAGCTCACAACCCAGGTGCTCAAATCGACATTGGGGAAGAGGTCACAAGGCTTGCCTAAAAAACTCCAAAAGTAAAAGAAAGACTCCAAACAGCAAAAAGGGGGAGAGGAGTGCGGAAGGGAGGGAGATGAAAGTTTTAATTGAGCAACATGGGATGGTATGAAGAAAGGTGGAGAGAGAGAGAAGAGAGAGAGGGGAAGAAAAGAGGGGGTTGAGAGGGAAATGATCATGAACTACAAAAGATCACTTATTGGAACATGAAAGAAATGATCAGGAACTAAAAAAATATTCATTAGGAAAAAATATCGTCAGAGCGTTGTTTAGTATGTATGCATTTTTTTAAGAAAATATCTCCGTCGACCCTATTTTTAGGTTTCATTTCTCCATAGACCCAAGGTCAAAACCTATCTTGCAGCATAGAGATTTTACCAATTATATCTTCTAACCCCCTGGACCAACTGTACCCCATCTTTTTAGCCCAGACAAATTTTAAAAAAGACATCCTTTTCTAAACCCTCTCTCACTTCACGTGTTTCTCTCTCTCTCTCTTTTTTCNCTCTCTCTCTCTCTCTCTCTCCTCTCCTCTCTCCTCTCTCTCTCTCTCTCTCTCTCTCTCTCTCTCTCTCTCTCTCTACTCT